CCACCTTTTGAAAATTATTTTCCCAAATGTCACACTGTGATCAGTGATGTTTTTCCTTTTATTTTTCTACTATTGGAGTTTCGGCACACTGTGTGGCTAAATTCCTTCAATTTTCTTTCTAAAAGTATTATACCAAATAAGGTTGTGTGTGGGCCCGATGGGTTGAGTTTGGCCAAAATCAAAACCAAAACTCGAACCACAGAGTACTTCGGATTGAGTCTAGTAAAATAATCACCTGTTATAATTAATAGATAATAATTCAAAGTTAGTTTAAATTGTTAGTTTTATGTTTGTTACAAGCTGTTACTTGTTGTACAAGATAACAAAATTAGTCAAATAGATTAGGATAAGTTTGCTGAGTTAGTTGGTGCTTAGTTGTGTTAGTTGCTTGGTTAAGAAGTAACTATAGTTTGTTATGTAACAAACAAGGTTTTGGTTATAAATACCATACCTCACCAATTGTAAATCTCATTCCATTGATTCAATAATAATAGCTTTCCCCTTTCTCTCAAATCTCTCTCTCAATATTCATTCATAGTTGTTCAATAGTTCTAACAAACTGGTATCTAGAGCCTAACTGTTCGTGGCATTCAAGAATTGATCAAGATTCACTGAAACTTGATCAATTAACTCAGCAAAGACGATGACAAGCCAACTAGAGACTCTCAGCAACAATTTTGGTGGAAAATTGCCAATTCTTGATGCAACTAATTGGGATCGATGGAACAAGCAGATGAAGGTGATATTTGGTTTCCAAGAAGTGCAAGATGTGGTGGAAGCAGCCATCACTGAATTAGCAGCAGATGCAACAGAAGATCAAAGGAATGCACATCGTGCAGCAAAGTAAAAAGATTTCAAAGCAATGTTCTTTATTCACCAATGTGTTGATTTATGAATTTCCAAAAAATAGAGATGCAACCTCAGCTAAGGAGTGTTGGGACATTCTTGAGAAGGCTCACTCTGGGAATGAGAAGCTGAAGCAGGTCCGTTTGCAGACATAGAAGAGAAAATTTGAATTGCTGCAGATGAAGAACAATGAGAGCATTGCAGATTACTTCAACAAGATCACAAATATCACAAACCAGATGAAGAGTTGTGGTGATACTTGTGATAATCAAGCCATTGTTGGTAAGGTTATGAGAACTTTGTCACCAAAGTTTGATTACATCACTGTTGCAATTATGGAGACCAAAGACTTAACAACATTGACATTGGATGAACTACAATGTACACTAGAGTCTCATGAACAAAGAATCTTGGATAGGGTTAAAGATAGAGCTACAGATCAAGCACTGCAAGCACATGCAGTAAAGAAGAACAATGGTCAATGGAAAGGGAAAGATAAGTCCAAGACGTACAACAATTCACAAGATAACTCAAAGAAAAGCAATGATCAAGCTGAATCTTCATCACAAGGTGCTGCTTCAAATCAAGATAAGAAAGGAAAGTTCAATTTGAAGAACATTCAATGTTACAATTGCCAGAAGTTTGGTCACTTTGCAAAAGATTGTAGAGGCAAGAAAGTACCAAGGCATGTCAACAAGCAAGATTCTGATGCTCACATGGAACAAGAAGAGGGTGACTCAGAAATTGATCCTATGTTGTTAATGGCAACAGTTACAGATGAAGAAACTCACAGTGAAGATTGGTATCTTGACACTGGCTGCAGCAACCACATGACAAGTCATAGAGAATGGTTGGTGAATTTCAATGATTCATCAAAAACAAAGATAAGATTTGCAGACAATAGGACTATACCAGCTGAGGGGGTAGGTGATGTATTGATCAGAGGCAAGAAAGGGAATCAAGCACTCATCATTGATGTCTTGTATATACCAGCAATGAAGACAAATCTGTTAAGCATGAGGCAATTGCTGGAGAAATGATTCATAATGCATTTGGAGAACAACATTATGGAGGTATTTGACTCACAGAAGAACACTATTTTGAGAGCACCATTGTTTCAGAATAGAACCTTTCAAGTTCAAATTTCTGCAAATTAATGTCTGGCTAGCATGAAGATCAGTGATGAAGCATGGTTATGGCATATGAGGTATGATCACTTGAATTTCAAAAGTTTGAGTTATCTGCAAAGCAATGAACTAGTGAATGGTTTGCCTGCAATTAAGATTCCAAAAGATATATGTCAACACTGCTTCTTAAGGAAACAATCAAGGAAATTATTTGCTAAAGAAATAGCTATGAGAGCTAAGCAAATCCTTGATGTTGTATACACTGATGTATGTGGTCCATTTGATACACTATCTTTAGGAGGAAGCAAATACTTTGTATCATTCATTGATGAGTTCAGCAGAATGATGTGGATTCAGTTAATGAAGAGCAAAGATGAAGTGCTTCAAAATTTCAAGTCATTCAAGTTAGAGGTTAAGAATCAGTCAGGTAAGAAGATTAAAGTGCTAAGAAGTGATGGTGGTGGTGAATACACATCACATGAATTTAGTGCATTTTGTGAAGCAAATGGCATTAAACATGAAATTATAGCACCTTACACACCTCAACACAATGGAATGGCTGAAAGGAGGAATAGAACAGTCATGAATATGACAAGATATATGTTAAAACAGAAGGGATTACCACATAGTTTTTGGGGTGAAGCTGTAGTTACAGCTTGTTATGTTCTTAACAGAAGTCCAACAAAGAAGTTAGATAAAGTCCCTGAAGCTATTTGGTCTGGTCACACACCCTCAGTGAAGCACCTTAGAGTATTTAGTTGTCTTTGTCACAAACACATACCAGATCAAAAGAGAAAGAAGCTTGATGATAAGAGTGAAGTGATGATCCTGATAGGATATCACACTGCAGGTGCTTACAAACTCTACAATCCCATTACAAAGAAAGTTACAAGCAGCAGAGATGTGACTTTTGAAGAAGATAAGGGTTGGAATTGGGATAGCAACACTGCACCAGTTCAAAAGTATGTTCCATTTCAGTTAATTGATGATCAACAAACTGAAGACAACACTATGCCAACACCTCCTCCGATCCAGTTACAAATGAGCCACCTGCATTGAGAAGATCAGAAAGAGGTAACATTCATAATAGATCACTACAGGACTTTGAGACAACCCCTGATTATATGATCACACCAGATGGAGATATAGTGCACTTAGCATTATATATGGACACTGAACCTTTGACATATGAATAAGCAGCAAAGTATGAAGAATGGAGAGGAGCTATGGATGAAGAAATAGCTTCAATAGAGAAAAATAACACATGGAATTTGGTTCATCTGCCTGCTAACAAAAGACCAATAGCAGTCAAATGGATATACAAATTGAAATACCTACCTGATGGCACTATAGCAAAGTACAAGGCAAGGTTAGTGGCCAAAGGGTTTTTACAAAAGCATGGTATAGACTTTAAAGAGATTTTTGCACCAGTGGCAAGGATTGAAACTGTGAGACTAGTTGTTGCTATAGCAAATCACTTTAACTGAGAGTTTGTTCAATTGGATGTCAAGTCTGCATTTCTCAATGGCAAACTTGAGGAGAAAGTATATATTGAACAACCTCAGGGTTTCATAGTTAAAGGAAAGGAAGATCACGTGTTGAAGCTGAACAAGGCACTATATGGACTAAGACAAGCACCAAGAGCATGGAACATGAGAATTGCTCATGGCAGGAGCAAACACATAGAAACAAAGTTTCATTATCTGAGAGATCAAGTCACTAAGGGGAAAATCAAACTATCGTATTGCAACACAGAATTTCAGATGGCTGATGTGCTCACTAAGCAATTAAAGATAGACAGGTTCAAGGATTTGAGAAAGATGATGAATGTGCAAAGCCTTGAGACTTTGAATTAAAGGGGTGTAATAGATAATAATTCAAAGTTAGTTTAAATTGTTAGTTTTATGTTTGTTGCAAGCTGTTACTTGTTGTACAAGATAACATAATTAGTCAAATAGATTAGGATAAGTTTATTGAGTTAGTTGGTGCTTAGTTGTGTTAGTTGCTTGGTTAAGAAGTAACTATAGTTTGTTATGTAACAAACAAGGTTTTGGTTATAAATACCATACCTCACCAATTGTAAATCTCATTCCATTGATTCAATAATAATAGCTTTCCCCTTTCTCTCAAATCTCTCTCTCAATATTCATTCATAGTTGTTCAATAGTTCTAACAA